TCTCAGAATTTGACTAAACAAATGTCCACTAAATGTTTGAATCTGGTTTTTCTTTTTCTTTTTTTTTTTGCGGATTTCAAAGCCTGATGAGCACTTTGGTTCTATACTATTGTTTCATTCCAAATTATTTTACTATGCAAATCTGTTATAGAATTGTTGCCTTGTCATAGTAGATTTTATTAATATCATCTTTGTTTATTGCTATATGAAGAAGGAAATCCAGTCAATAACAGTTTGAAAGACTGTTGAATTTTTATAAATTCAATTGTTCTCAATATAATCGCTAGAAAGCATGATAGACCACAAAAGATGTTACAATTTCAACCATTTTCTTTTCTAGAAAGAGTGGACTAACATGGGGGGGGGGGGGGGGGTCAAATGAATTAAAATGGCAGGCTGCGTAAAATACGTTTATATTTTGTCAATCAATGTGTTATAGGGTAAGTAATATACTGCGGCAAATGTTTACCCCTCTTAATTTGACAAAAAGATGTCCACTTAAAGTTTAGATTCCGGTTTTTCTCTTTTTTCGCAAATGCTCAATCATGATGAGCACTTTGGTTCAAAACTTTTGTTTCCTGCTAAAATATTTTACTTTATAAATATGTGATACAATATAAACGGTTATTCAAAAAAAGACTCTTGGTCTCTTTTTAAACATTCTTGCATCTGGTCAATCAGATGTGTATTCTTAAAAACTCTGAAGATCATCTAAAATCAGAATTTTTAGTTTTTTTACGCTGTACACGTCTTTAACCAATGTTTAATTGAAAAATCTACTAAATCTTCTCATAGGACATTGTTTTTTTTTTTTGTAAAATTGGAGTCGTGGATACAAATCACTTGTTTAATGTTATAATATCTTACTTGATGAAGAACCAAATCTTCTCATAGGACTTGCTTTTACTGCAAAAAAGGTAATCGTAGATATAATTTCCTTGTTTAAGGCTTATATTATCTTACTTTTTGAAGAACCACACAGATTCCTAAAACAAATTCAAATTCAAATAGTCAAATTGCTTGACTTAATGATGACAACATATATGTTGCGTTTGGTGAATTGATATTTCAACAAGCAGTCGAATTGGTACGTATTGTGCACCCCTACTGGCCGATTTGTTTTGTACTCATATGAAGCAAATTTCACAGAGAGAAAAAGCATCTGCAAAGCTCTTTAGTTCATTTGGTTTAGTGTAATTTCAGATATATTGTTCATGCCCTGTCAATTGATAATCTAGATTTTAATGAATGATTCGTATACATATATATATATATATATATATATATATATATGCCAGTAAATCTATATTAACGATATTACTGATATTAACGAAACAAGGTGTGTTTCTTGTCATGGTCCTTTCGTTTTGAAACTGACAATAGACAGACTAAATATATGACTAAATATATGACAACCGTAGTGCTTTCAACTCCACAATTGTTTACTTCACATTTTCAGCAATATCAAGCCCTCTGTCCCATTGTAAAGCGTATAATGTCACAATTAATTTGTAACGCTCGTGTATGTTCACACTTCATTACCAGGGATGTGCTTCTAACACAAAAACAGCTCAAACAGATTTATGACGAAGAACAACTGAAATCGACACTATATAAGTTTAACGGGCACAATCAGGAATGGGTTAACGTATACGAAGTGTCTGGCTCTCAACCCAATAATCACATGTTTTCGAGGTCTTTGTCGTCGGTTCTAAAAATTCACCGATTGTTTCCTTTTCCGACATTTTGATTGAAAGATGATTCGTATGGCGGGTGAAAAATGCAAAGCAGCCAAGACGCTTACCCTGTCGATGGGTCTGGTCTCCCTCCTGTTGGAGTTTATGCGATTCCTTCTTTGTATCTTTGTATCTTCTTAATGGATTGATAAGGAAAATGTGTACTGCTATAATGAGCACTGACATTATTTATAAAGTTTCCTGCTGATAAACTTATTTATTGCATCTGTTGCAATGAAATATCATGATTTCCCAGTTGATTAAAAACCGATTTTTCACATGTAAAATAAACCTGATATTTTTTAACTCCTCTGACGCCACACAACAATGTGTGTTGTAGATGAGGTTGAATAAAAACAAATTGAGAATGCGTAACAAAATATAGTTCCTGTATCTTATTCTTTGTATCTATTAAAAAGCCCATGGTCAATGTAATAACAAAACTAGCTAATAAAAAAAATCAAATATCGAAATAAATTCAACTCGTGACAAAACAACACTGACAATTAACTCTTGCACTACGCACCTTCGTTAAACTATTCTTTTTATGTCCCTTTGCCCACATAGCTCCTACTTTTTCTATGTATTTAAATATATCCTTTTTGTGTTTGACTATTCCTGATGAAGGTACATTCAGAAAAGAGCTTCTGATGCACGAAATATATATAGTGTTTTTCTTTAAATTAATATCTGTGAAATAAATACTGTAGCACTGAAGAAATGATCACTGAAGTCGTCAAATACATATTTTATTATACTGTATACCCACAATTCTTTTTTGTGACGTAAACGGGTTAGCAACAATAATAGTAATTACTTCTTTCATATTTCTTGATACATTTTGCTAATTTTTTTGGGTGTGGGGTGTGTGTGGGTAGAGGGGGGGGGGGGGGTGATAATAATAATAAAATGGAACGTTGTCATTACTTATAAAAAATGCTGTGAGATGTGACATTATATTTACCTTTTAAAAAAAATGGACAATTGGAAATATTTCTGTAGCCATCATAGAGAGTCTCATTGTGTAGCAGGTAGCCTATTTGTGATCTAGACCATTAAACATATGTAATGATTCCAACATAGCATGAATGCTTGAAATGAAATCATTTTAGATAGTTGCTAAGTTGACGTTTTCGCTCAGTCAATGAAGTCGTTGTATTCATCTCACTTACTGTAATATGTTAATGCTTCACACACGAGATGTAGGCATGCTACTTTTCAAAAATAGGAAATTGACAATCAGAAATTTGAATCCTCATATTTGTCGAACAATATTTTTATATAAGTTAATGTGTGTATACTCTTGAATTATGTAGTTCGTTTTTGTAATTGGTATAACTAATTCTAGCTCAGTTGATAATAGTTAATTATATTTAATATTTGTAAAGCACCATATTCGTATCAGAAACTCGTATATTACACATAAGATAGATATTTTCTTTTTTCTTGTGTATAAGTTCTTGTGTGTATATCTGCAATAATTTGCGCACAAAAAAATGCCTATAAGATTACTTACTGCTTAAAGACATCTCCATGAAATTCTGAAAATATATTTTCTATGTGCATTATCTATTTCTGAGTGCATCTTATCAAATAAAAAAGAATTGTACACCAAATGTTATGAAAAAAGATTACTTTTTTTCTACCTGCCATCAATCTATAATTCTGTCGTATGTTTGGTTTTTAAAGACACATGTGTATATTTAACTTTTAAGTCGGTGTTTTATAATTATTGTACGATATTATTATTGTAAAAGTGTGACGTCAAAAATATCTTTAATTTCGAAGTAGAACAATAAGTTCAATAAGTTCAATACAGTGGGTATATATATATAGATATATATAGATTATACTTAAATATACTTATAAGGGCAATTATATTTAAACTGTTATATTTACTTTTTAAACTAGGTTTCTGATCAATAGATAACTTAATTCACCGAGTCACATATACTGACATATACCTCACACATTTGTCGACCTTCAAAGTTTGTATGTGTACTGGAACGATGGTATTTCTATGAGGACAAATCAAATGGCAAAATTAGTATGGATAGCAGAACATTACTTAGGTTTACACAAACAATAACAGTTTTCAGGAGACGTATCTGCTTATGTTTCGCCTGTGTAATGTATTGTCAGTTGTATAGTTACCAGAACGAAAAATTCTAGATCAGAGATTGTTTGATTCTATTGCTGAATGGTCCAGTGAAAAATATAAACAATAACTTAAACACTAATGATTATATTCAAATGAACTTAAGAGTTTTGGGGGTTTTTTTTAGGGGGGTTCCTCATTCGTCCATGATGAATCAATATCGAAGTGTACGTCTTGTGCATTAGACTAATACTTTATAATGCTTTGATTACCACTGTGTCTATATCTCTTCTTGGTTGACTGTAAACTCCGAAAGTTATAACTAGCCAATACTACCTGTATGATGACGTCATATACGTCATATACGCTTGTACTGACATCAATGTTTTCCTCCAAATTAAAATAAAGCCTACTGAGAAAATGTATTGCTTGTTAAGATAGCAATAAAAGTTTTATGGTGAACAATGTGTACATTTATTATCGGCTAAACAGAAATTCAAGTATAAGTGATGTTTCAGCTACAGTTTGCTGTTAAGAGAGACCTTATTGAGAAACAACAAAATTTCTAGATTCTTGAACACCAGTAGTTCAACCAACAGCAGGTGATATATTTGGTGCGGGTGAGGAGCCTAGTCAGTGGTTTTCATTTTCTTTTTGTCAATATACCAAATTAATATAACCAGTAGGATTTCCTGTTGAAAAGTTTTGTTAAGAAATGTTGTTGAGAACGGCACATGGGAATATGATTACAGCTACCGTGGCGGCGTTTTTATTGACTTTACCCATATTTATTCATTTTTAACTTATTTATTTTGAGCGTCAATGTTGTGTTTCATGTAGACAAAACACGCTTGAGTCACGTTAATCAATATGTCTGTGTGTGTTTTGCACACACAATATTGTCAATATAATGGAACTATAAACAACTTTCATACAAGTGGGAGGATTAGATAGCTATAAAACCAGGTTTTACCCACCGTTTTCTTTGGAAATTGTCTGTACCAAGTCCGGAATATGACATTTGTTTTCCATTTGTCCGTTGGTTGACATAATCGAGAGGTAAGGTGTTAAAGGTTTAATGCATATCCCTTTTTAAATTTAACTTGGAGTTCAGGTTTTGGTAGATACATTTTTTGTCTGGCCTGGCGTACTGATTAGTAACCTGGTATCTTTGATAAATCTTTTAATAAACTTTTACATACAACATTAAATAAATAATTAAACAAAATACACAAATAACTTATTGATATATTGCACTCTATAAGAATGTGTTGCAATGTATATGATGGCACCAATTGCTAGTAGGCTTTTTTATGAGCTTTTGTTTAATGGTTTTCCTCTAAGATTAAACCTCTTATAATGATATTTACATTATTCGTAAGCATTGAAAAACATAGATAAAAATATGTTAGCTTAAAATGAAAAAAAAACTTTACTTCTTTTAACATTTAACAACATTTTAATAGTGAGGTTTAATTCTGTAGAATCGTTATTTCAGTGAATTGTATTTTAAGTGATCTATGTACAGATGAACATATATATACATATTTAAATAAATGTACAGTTCTGACAACAAAACATTTCCTAATTGTTTAACAGAAAACTGCCGTTAATTTGACATGAAGGTTTGAACAACCCGTCTTGTTATTCTGTTATATACAGATTAACAGATATACAGTTTTACTTTTGCTGTGTTGAGTAAATCTGTAATACTACCCTAATTATATATTATGTCATATGTGTTTAATATCGCGTCAAAATATATACAGTTTTACTTGGCTATTTTGGGCAATTCTCAAATATTACTCTAATGAAATATATTAATATATGCGTGCAATATCGCGTCAAAATACGTAGTTTTAACCTTCGAAATGTTGAGCAAGTCCCTTATATAACTATAATTAAATATAATGTCATATTGTGCTATATCACGTCAAAATATCTACATAAAATCTATTTTATTTAAAAATGAAGCATTTTGCCTATTCCTAATCCAACAGATTGTAAGTAAATGTTAATTTATTTTTGAATACACCAAAATGAAAATAACGTTATGCATTTAGTACAAGGTCAATCGTTTAGGATGTTGCTCTCTTTTCACTAAGTTTAATGTCCATTTTTAAAAAAAGGTTTCCCTGAATGCATAATATTCTCAAAGTGGCAAGGAAAAAATACTAAAATTACCATGGACTTTTGGTGTTATTTTAACTTTTGCAAGTGACCAAAATAATATTATAGACCCTGATAATGTGATAGGCTGTTCATTGCAATCTATCTGTTATATTAGTTGAAATAATGATGCGTTTGGTTTTGTCAGTTTTTAAGGACTAACCCCTTTCGAATTTACCTTGGAGTTCGGTATTTTTGTAAAATTCATGCAAAATTACATAGATTCCATAATAAGTTTTACGTTTTCATTCTATACGGCAAATAGATCGCATTTTCAAATCAGTATTTGAAGCAGAAGTCACATAGTTTATACTATGGGTGAATCCGGTATAAATTCCCTTTATTTGATAGTATAATCTATAGTTACCTATTATGGGTATATGTTTGTTTTTCTATACTGAAACTGTATTCTCACAAGTACAAACATCCTTATACAATGCTTTACGATAAATAATAAATGCACTTATCAAGTTACAAGTTCATTCATAAATCTGACCGGAAATGTCACAAGAGAGGGATGGCCACATTTCAAATATTGTACATAGTAATATTATCACGTTGTCATCTTTCCATGGGAATTATATCACCCGTTGCGTTTTTTTTTTGGAATGGACAGTCGTGTAAACGTCAGGATATATTACCAGTTGTCATTCCATATCCAATTCAGTGTGTTGGATTTCTTGGTGTAAACTGGAATCTCATTTTGGTAGCAGGAGCAACATTAACACCATAGTCTAATTTTAGATCTTCTCCGACATATTGTATTTGATAACTTTGAAGTATCTAAAAATAAAATCAAAATTCACAGTTGTTTCATTTTTTCACTGAAAATCATATGGTACGGGAAATGACACACGTTTATGTGTGCGAGGCGAAAGGGAAAATTCAGGCTTAAAATAACTTTAATGCGTGTGGTTATAGCTTTAATTCTAAAACAAAATACTCAATAGTTTCATGTTTTCTAAAACTTCAAATACATAGCTTTAAAATTTATCATAGTTTTTCATATACAGCTTATCTATTTTGATACCAAAAGCTTTGCTTAGATCCTCAAACTTCAAACAATTATAACCGCATTATGATGAAACATTGGAATAGTTTGTGAATACTTCTTATGCTGTATTTTTTTTGTGTTTTTTGTTAATTATGGCGCAAATACTTAATACGGCAAAATTTTTATATCAAAATTACCTTAACAACTGCAAGAAATGTCTCTTGTTCAGCAAACCGTCGTCCTATGCAGGATCTTTGTCCTACGCCAAATGGTATTGCGGCAAATGGATGAATTTCCTTTCTATTTACGTTATCTCTCAACCATCGTTCTGGCTTAAAGGAATGAGCATCTTTAAAGTTGACTTCATCCAGCATCGATTGTTCCCAGTGAACTGCAACAGTTGTCTGTAGTAATTGTAAATTTTAGTATTTTCAATCATACTTTATTAATAATCTTAATGCAATATTAACGAATACATGTGTTTTACAAACAAATCATGAACTTGGATAACTTGATAATTCGTTTGTACTGTACGACAAATAAAAAATGACATTTGCCATGCTCTAAACCAAAACATTGCAAGTTAGTAAAATGTTTGATATTCATTTTGGTGTATAAGGAAAAACAAACAAACATCGTAACAAAGACGGAACCTGCCATGTCATCCAAAACTATCTTTATCGATCAGCGAATGTATTTTGGAGTCATCAAATTATCCCTTCTAATTATGTTCGTGCTAATGAAAAAGTTAGGATTACGTTCATTGACCTACTTATTGAATAATTTTAATAATAATACTTTTTGATTTTCAGGTTCAAGGGGCCAATATCATACCTTCTCCCTTGATAAGAAGGACCCTTTGACACCAAGAATCAACCAGTAATGTTGGGTATACAAACAAATCGTAGCATGCAAACCATAAGGAACCTAAACAGATTCGTTACACCGTCAACCGCATTAGAAACATGCATATTTACAATGTTTTTATAAGCATACCTACCCCAGCAGGTATATGATAGCCCCGTAGATTAATATCCTGTGTCAGTCTTCTAATAGTTCCACCAGCTACTGGCAGCAATCTAAAAATCAGTTAAAATATAGTGTCTAATTTGTGTCATTCTTAATACTGGTTTTGTTTAAACAATTGCCGAACGTTAATTGAATGTTTTATTTTTGATATAGGTTATGTTGAAACTATTCCATATAACATGCAACGGATTTTACGATTATCGAATATAAACATTTGATTTGAACTAATTCTTTAGTAATATTTTCAGCCATTGATACATTGCAGAAGTAGTTTTTTCTATACAGATTTGTTTACCGATTAGTTAATTGATTGATTAATTACCTATGAACTTCTTTGTCCACTGCTTTTAAGTAAGTCATTTGTTGTAGGTTGTCGATAGACAATGTCTTGTCAATGTGTCTTGAAATTTCTTCGTGGAGCTTTTCTTGGACATCAGGATGTGTTCCCAATAAATATAACATATAGGCTATGTGATGACTTGTCTACAAAATATAACTTATGTGTTGTTGAAAACAGTCGATTAACATGATCGTGTATTAAATGTTTGGTAACTTTTGTATTCATCTTGTTTCTTGTTCATTAAGGATATATTTTTAGCTGTTACTCATATATTATTGTAATTAATTTTCATATAATACATCGTTTGGTCAGTCACATGGGATTCCTTTCAATTTTTTTTATCATTATTAACTGCAATTACGCAATAAATTACGTATAATTTATTTCAATATTTTGAAACTTTCAAATAGTGAAGTTTCTTTGTAAAGAAATGGAAAGTTTTAGTGACTGGTCACCTTTCAACATCACTACGTTACAATGAATAAATTTTAAATATAAGTTTTTTAGATTTTAGATAGTATATTAAACTTACTGTGTCGACTCCTACTAATATGAATTCACTAATGACTTTGAAAACTTCTTCCTCTGTTAGAGAAGACTTGCTCATTAGATAAGGAATGAGATCGCCATTCTCCCCATCTACTTCTGTACCGTCTTTTGATCGTTCTTCCATTTCTTTTAAAGCTTGTTTTGAGTATTTATTTGCCATTCTGTAAATAATTATTCTCAGAGTAAAACTACATAAAAAGCAACACCTATTATTTGCAAAGCAATTAACGATTTGACAATCTGTTCTTCTTAATGGTAAAACCTACGATTTTGACAGTATAATTTGAAAAAAAATAAAAGTTGTTATGTATATCAATGTGTATAAAACATTTACAAAAGCGGAATATCGAAAAAATTTGCTATTAACCGTCAGCTTGTTTCAATTTTGTCAAAATAAGCTCAAAAATATTGTTGATCCGTATTGTCTTACAAATATTTTACCTATTGTTTGGTATATATGCATGAGACCTTTGATATGACATCAGTTGGAGATTGAATGTGCATGTGCTAAGCATGTACAGTTATTGGAAAGAAAGAATGTCATAGATGAAAATATAGAACTAGGAATGAAGAGCGATTTCGTTGATTGATTCGTCCTACAAATAATGAATGATGCTTAACATATAGTGAGTTCCAAATGGTGAAATTGAAGTCATCCTTTCGTAAATTTTACGGACGCCATCACGAGTTGGTTGACCGTTATGGAATATCCGTTTCACAGATGATAGCGGATATGTTCCTAATGTCGTAACTACAATCCAGTTCCCTTTTCACGAATGTGACCTACCGAATTAAACTTTTTACCGGGTTTGTACTAACATGAGCAACACGACGGGTGCCACATGTGGAGCAGGATCTGCTTACCCTCTCGGAGTACCTGAGATCACCCCCAGTTTTTCGTGGGGTTCGTGTTGCTTAGTCTTTAGTTTTCTATGTTGTGTTTTGTGTACTATTGTTTGTCTGTTGGTCTTTTTCTTTTTTAGTCATAGCGTGGTCAGTTTATTCTCGATTTATGAGTTTGAATGTCCCTCTGGTATCTTTCGCCCCTCTTTTGTAATCCATGAAATGAAATCAAACAGACTTACGAAAGTCCTCATTATAGTATTGTATGTTCTTTCATTCGAATTTTTTTTATATTGCAGATCATCTCGAAAATTTATCGGATGGCGTCTAGTCCTAAACTACGCACGAATGTTGATACTTTATAACAATTCCATGAATTGTTTACTTTTGTCATATTGATAAATGTTTATCAGGAAATTTGCAGCTCATAATGGTCGCATTGATCTAACAATACGGTGTTGACACTTTAACTCATTTACCCGTTTCAGTAACTGTAAAGATAATGATCAGAAATGAAAATGAAAGTACTTGATCCTTAGTTAATAGGTTTTTTTTAAATAATTGATGATATTGCTGTCTCATGTATATCCACCTTTATATCTTTCTTTTCAAGGGAACAAAGAAAACGAAAAAAATTGAAGTAATATAGTTTCTAAATTACAAAATCAATATCCTCATCAATTAACTACTTTTCCGTTTCAAAATATCTTTAAACGATGCACTCTACTCTCGGGGAAAATAACGCTCCTCTATATAAAACATGTATTTGAAGTTATACATACTCTTTTACAAAAATCTTTGCCTTCACAAACTCTTTGTATGAGGGCGTCTCAAATAGTTTGTAAAATGGAAGTCTCCTAAATTCGTTATGTGTTGTGTCCATAATTACACGAACATAATATAGGAACTGTCTTGCTTCAGCATTCTCCTCCTTACTCAATAACAGATCAAATCTTTTATTGAAGCACACTAAACCAATACCTGTAAGAAAGAGTAAAATATTATCATGATTATTATGAACAAATTTTGAATGTTTTATACAGTAAATATCCGTAATGCTCCTGACCAAACTGCGGCAATTTAACAATATCCTTTAATATCATGAAAAATGAATAGATCTGTATAGATCACCAAAAATCAGAGAAAAAAAGAATTTTAAATATTAAACAAAATAACAATATTTTTTTAGGTTACAAATCGGGACAAAAGAATGACATTTATCATTTGATGGGGAATTACACCAAATAACCTTCACAATATCAGTTGTCAAATGAAAAATGCTTACTGATGATGAATATTTGTTATCCAAATTTTTTTTGAAATTTTTTTTTATCATCTTATATAGTCCTGTTCTACACTGTAGACGTGTGAGGGGATTTGGCGTACACAAAGAGTCTGATATATTCCATACCTGTCAAAAGCTATATATAGCAGGGAATAAAGCACCAGAGGACGGTTAGTTTTAAAATGCCATATTCATGACAGCAAAAGAAACCGAAAGAAAATATGAAAGATCAAATGTTTTTTAAGATGCAAAAATTTCAAATGACAAGTCATATCAAAACTCATAAAAATACTTATTGAAATTCTTTGAAGAAGGAACTAAACAACAGCATAGTTCCTGATTTAATTAATTTCTAAAGGTCTTAAGTAGAGTTTTAGCGATTCACCCACATTCAGATCATTATATATGAAGCTCGCAATGGTCCTTAAAATATGCTGTGAAACAATTCGTAGTATACAAACGTAAGACAACTCAATAGTAACTTCAAGGCTCCTGACTAACTGCACACACATAACCATGAAGTGCGTTTATTGCTTACATCTACGGAGAGTTTTGTCATTGACAATCATACCACTTCTTCTTATTTTTAAATTAAACTAGTCTTTCCAGTACTTCTTATTGGAGTGATAATTAACATTTACTAAACATGAACTTACCTTCCGTTGCAAATTTTGTGAGATCACTGCGAATATCTTCTACAATGCCATTTACACATTTGGTACGCGAGAATTTTTCTACAAGTTCGTCTGCAACCTTTGACTGTTCATCAAAATAAGCAGCCACTGCCTTTGGTCGTAGCATTTTTTGTTGAAACGTACTTCGAAGCTTTTGCCATGTTTCATTTTGACTATAAAAAAGAAAAAGTAGCAAGCATTAATATAAAAGCGGCTGACATCTAAAAATCTTAGCAAGTTGCCATCTATCCAAAATGTATATCATTGATATTAGCACAAAAGAGGGACGAAAGATACCAGAGGGACAATCAAACTCATAGATCGAAAACAAACTGACAACGCCATGGCCAAAAATAAAAAGACAAACAGACAAATAATAGTACAGATGACACAACATAGAAAACTAAAGACTAAGAAACACGAAACCCACCAAAAACTGGGGATGATCTCAGGTGCTCCGGAAGGGTAAGCAGATCCTGCTCGACATGTGGTACCCGTCGTGTTGCTTATGTTATTACAAATCCGGTATATAGTCTAATTCGGTAGGTCACATTCGTGAAAAGGGAAGGGTATTGTAGTTACAACATAAGGAATATATCCGATATCATCTGTGAAACGGTTATTCCATAACGGTCAACCAACTCGTGATGGCGTCCGTAAAATTTACGAAAGGATGATTTCAACTTCACCATTTGGAACTCTTGCTTTAATAGCTTCCTTGTGATCAGCAATCCTCTATTAAGGAAATCATGATAGGAAATACAAGCCCGGAAATATCGTATCAATTGGGAGATATATACTCCGTATGCAGGCGCTGCTGGAATGTTGCTACATAGAAATGGGAAGTTCACAATTGGGAAGCTGAAATCATCTCTTTTGTCGTAACGTTTTGTTTTCAACCGACCCTCATTGTCAATTTCTAGATGTAAGTCAAGATATGAGGCAGACTTAACTGTATCTGTAGTATCCTTTATCTCTAGTTCGATGGGATAGATTCGTTCAACATAATCACCAAATTTTGTATTATTTAGTGAGAGAACATCATCTATATAGCGGAACGTAAAGTTAAAGGATATTGCCCACTTCTTATCTTTCTTCCTAAGAAGTTCCTGTATAAAGTCAGCCTCATTATAATAAAGAAACAAGTCGGTAGGAAGAGGGGCACAGTTGGTTCCCATTGGAATTCCGAGTCTGTTGAAAAAAAATTCCTCCAAACGTAACAAATATGTTGTCAATCAAGAAATCAAGCATCTGGGTAATGTCAGTTTCAGAGAATTTTTTGTTTGAATCAAAGTGATTATTTACAAAGAAGGATTTATCCCTCCCCAAGACAAGATACTTGTATCTACGTTCGCCATTCTGTTGTCTTAAACGATCAAGATGAAACTATAAAAGTAACAACCTTAAAGATACGTGAAAAAATCTAACAATGGTATTTACAGTAGAGGAAAGATATTTCCTTTCTGATTTTGATAGGGATTTTCCTTATAACAAGTAAAATTACCTGGTTATGATGCCTTGAACATTCCCGTTATACTTTCTATTGTAATGGGTCAAGGTCATGAACGCTTCTCTAATTGGATACTTCCCGTCAGCTCGAAAAACAGTTTCAAAATCATCAGGATCAAAAACATGAACGAACGAGAAGTGAAAAATTCTTTCTTTATATATGTCTCCATATTTTTGCCGGCACATTTCATAAATTTGTGGGGGAGTTTTTCCGTGAAATGCACCTGCAAAACAAAATAATTTTGAACTTCTATATTTTTAAATGTTTATTATTGTATGTTCATATGCAGATTTAAGAGGTGCTCGTAATGATTAAGCTTTGGTGTTCGTTGATAGTTACCTTGATTTGTATTTTTGTGTTTTTGAAAAGGCTTCTTCACTTTGATTTTTGGTAAGATTTTCAACAGTAATATCATTTTTAATATTGTCACTTCGGTGTTTCTTAGATCTCTATGTTTATGACATAATGTTTTGATTATTTCATAGATGAAAAAAAGATTTAACAAGTTTTGTCTTTAATAATTCTTTAATAATTAGATTCATAAAGTCTTTTTCAATATTCAAGGTATAATCTATTGAGAGGTTTTGGCGATTTTGAATCAAATCATACTAAATTGACTAAGTATCATATTTGTTTTTAAATGACTCGGTATAGAACTGACTAGAGAAATCTTTTAATATGGTGGTTCTTAATATAATTATTATTACCACAAGGAAAATGGTTAACTAGTGCTCCGACAAACGGCAGTGATGGCGGACCTGGGATATCTTCAAATGACTTTGCATGCTCAGTTTCATATTCAGGTGCCAAGATGGCTGCCATCGTGGCTTTAAATCGACAACTAACGTATTTACGTATCTGGGAACCAACATATCTTTGACAGCAAGTTGTTGTCATTGTTGATATTTCTGTAATTCAAATATGTAAATTAGTTATACACAATGTTAATTATTCCATGTGAGGAACCTCGTTTGTAATAAATTTGTCTTATTTCTCATTTTTCTTTTCCTATAGTTATTTGATATTATAACAGATCTTTTATAGTCTCGATCTCTTAACGTTGAACTTTTCTAAATTCTGGTAATTTTGTGCTTTGCACATTGCATGAGTTATTGTCTAATTCTGAACACGGAATGTTGACCTCTCGATTTATACTATCATAATATTCTATTTATTCATTATCAATATTATCAATGATCCTACAAGATTTTTTACTGCCCACTGCGAATCATCTTTACTGTAAATGGCATTTTCGGTGGAAGAAAATAAGGGTTGTTTGAATGCAAAGTGAATCCGTTTATAGATCCTTCTTTGATTATTTCCTGGCAGATGATTGGTTAACAGGATTGCTATAAAAGTACCAGAAATGAGAGTGGGTGGGCTGATACAAAGATATTTGCGAGTATAAAAGGAATTCACAGCAAGTATTCTCTCGATCAGACAAAGCATGTAAGTATTTTCCTTTAATCAGACAACGCATGAAAGTATTGTTTTATACCTTGATGTATTATGTGGGAGTAAATTTCAGAATTAGATCCTAATTTGTCGTAGGCTACTTCGATTGACTAAACATGCAATCAACGATAAATAAAAAGAGTTAAAAGAAAAAAAATATTTAACAGCCGACAAGGCTCCTCGGTTACCTTCGGGATTCTTTGATTCTGTATTATTGAGTTTTATTCTATTTGTGACTCTGTTTTAGCACTTATATAGAGCAGGTGCTTTGTTCATTTTTATTGAACGTTCTTCTCCATCTTTTTAACTGTTCTCCTGAGTGAGGTTGAAAAGATAGGCTGACTGATCTAGTTATGCCCGACATATGTTATGTGTTCGTCCCAAGTCACAATGTCCGTTTTTTTTTCTTGATGATTTTGTTTTTTTAACATTTTTGTCCCTGGCAGATCTTTTGGTAGTCTGTGCTACTTTTTATTCAGATGTTGTCTAGAGTGGTTGAGAGCCAAACAGTTGTTATATGCGTGCCCTCTAGCTGTTTTACGTATAAAAATAAGAAGATGTTGTATGATTGCCAATAAGACAACTATGTGGCTTTTAAATTTATAAAGGGTTGCAGTCTAATTGAAGTATACACAACATATTTTTAAATTTATAGTTATACACCCTGTTGTTGAAAATTCCGAAGAACTAAATATTTACTTGTACAAAATAATTTACTACTAGTTTAATTAATGTACTCATCTAATTCAATAAGATGTTAATATGATATAGTATATGTATACCAAAGAATAGAAGCAATTTTTAAACTGGCACTGAATAAAAAAAACATATTTTTCAAAAAATCTTTGGAAAAACTTTGTTATCAACTTCTTTCCAAGTAGTAAGTATACAATTAAGGTAAATGTTTTCTTTTATCTAAACTAACATTTTTTTTTATTATTTAGAATTCTTTGAATTAACTTCTTTATATAAATAATTAATCATGAATTTAACATTAAAAACATTTCAATTACTTTTTTATCGACTTACTTCCTCAGTGTGAAAAACTCCAAATGATTTTGATAATTGTTGGGACCCATAATTATAAGTCTACATTTATTTATATGAAGATACTGGTGATATATGTAACACCAAAGTTCGCTGCACACGAGCTTGTCTTACCAAGTCAAGCGAAGAAAGTTAACTATAAACTCAAAACTGTTATACATCATGTTTATCGTGGTGGTACAGTACGTTGTCAGAATAAAAGGTGGAAGAAAAAATAAAAATAAGTTACTAATAAATTAAAAAAAAAACAAAGTTATGAACGTGTTGCGTTTAAAATGAAATCAAAAAGACGTGGCGACAAATAATCGATAAATCAACAAACTATACCATCTTGGTATTGAATTAAACAAAACAAAAAAGATTTGAAAATCAATGTTTACTTTTAAAAGTTTAAATCATTGATACAGACATATCACAGCAGGTTACTGAACGTTGATGATCTAAATTAAGTAACCCAGTAATTCACCTGTACGGTCATGAATGAAAACTAGAATATGTCCACCTGCACTGGATTTGTCCCAGGATACATATTTTAACTTATGAAGACCTTGTAATACCTACCTTATGCAAACATTGTAGACATTGAACTTGAACGAGATAAGTAGACATTTAAAGTACAATAACACTTAGAATTTTTGTTATTTATGTAAATCGACAGTAGTTTGAAATTGTTTCCATAATAGGAATAATTAACAGAAGTTTTAAAGTATATCTAAGATTGATGGTTGCTTGCTCAACGTGTTGTGGCAAATATTTTGTGCATTTTCAGGACGAATAAATATCTTGCATTTTAAATTAAACATTTTAATATTAAGCCATTTTAATACATTATTATTAACTTAATGTAAATCAAAATTGCTATAAAATTGTATTTATGGTGGTTTATGGTCTAACTTGATTATTTCAATCTTTGCCAGAATGTATTTTTATCGAGCTATATCAATAATAAAATAGTACAGTTATTAATATCGTACCAAATATTTCAAGTATATATTTCTTTTTTGATAAAAATACAATTTATGCTGATATTTTTACTAGGTCTCCTTTTTAAGTATATCTAAAACGTATATATAGAGCATTTTTGGGTGAGTTAAAAATATTGCATCTTGACCGATATTTCATTCCATACTCACTTCAAATTTCGTAGGCACAAGAGAGGTTCCGAGAAAACAATATTCGCCTACAGACAGACAAGAGATAAACAAGATGGCAGAAATGGATATTGTGTCGTTACTAAAAACTTCAGAACTGCAGGAATTGACGAAGTATCTTCAATGTTGGTGACATATTTGATACTACATCATAAAAGGGTTATTAGTCGAATATGGTACCGACTATGTGCTAATACTTTGTCAGAACTATAGATTTATTCATTTAAATGAAAATATTGAGAAATTAAATGCATGTTTATATCTATGTTCGAAATTTTTAGTGACAATCCATATTGTTTGAAGAAACACATTTTAGACACCGGAGCATCAAAAAAGTATAGGAAACAGTATTTGTTTAATCAAAACAATTGTCCATGCGGTACTTTATTTTTACCGCGAAACATAAAACTCATAATTGTTTATCCTCTCGATTGAAAAAAAGACATAACTTTTGGATGGTTAAAGTAAATCTACCAAATTGAAGTTAGAATATACACTTTGCTCATTAAAATTATGTAGAACTTTATAATCACTTTGATAAGCAGTACTTTATTTTTCTCTCTGTTTTGTCTAAGGGAAATCTAGAAAATTATATGAAAACAATAATGTGATTAAAGAAGACCTTTTTGTTAAATAAACTGAATGTGACTTTTTTCCTTTGTAATACTGGTTATTTCAAGCATTCCTGTCATAATCAGTTCAATAGTTTGAGAAAAATCTAGTAAAATGTAAAATGAGATCTACAGCGATTCGAGCAAAATTTCTTCGAAAAATCCAAACCAAGCCGCATCATGATAGAATATAGTGTGGACCAATAAATGATCAAATATTTATCTCGTCTGCCTACAAACAGTTGAATATGATACAAAAGATGACTTTAGGATGATAAATACTACTAATGGACCTCTTTGTCTTCCTTATAAGGTCTCTTTTGGTCCATTTATACCTCTAATTTCCTCAAAATTTCAACTTTTTAGGCCAATAAATAAAAATTTTAGGGTAACTGTCACTCATTTATGATAGAAATGTTATAATAAATGATTAATTGAAGTATTCAAGCTGAATGAACTATCCGTATAAAAGTTTACTGTCTCCAAGGAGGTTTCGATAAGTCCTTACGTAAAACTTAAATTTACGCCGCGTTCCAGAGAGGGACATAAAAAGCTTCTCTTTTGGTGAATAATTTGTTGTTACTGCTTTAAAAATAATTTCATTTACTTAAAACTATATATTTATTAAAGTATTTCTTAGGAAAATTTTTCTAGTATAGCAGAATATAAGAAATAAGGGGAAAGAGCTCCCCAAAGCTCTAAGTATGGCTTGTTCTGTCAACTAATATTCATGGTAAAGTCCTATTTCAAGGAAATTTTCTCATAAAATGTGTTTTGGAGACTCAATCCACTCAGAATATTTCATTATTTGTAATATTTCACTTAAATAGCAAGAAATTTTAACACATGAGAGTACTCACAAGGTCAAATGTGCATGTACAGCTTCCCATATTAGGTGTAATATCACCATTGATTTTCCCCTATTAGTCTTTGTTAAATTTGCACTTTTCAAAAAATTGTGCAGAATTTATCTTTGTTTCAAATAAAGAAATACTTGGCATGAGTAAAGTTTTATCCTGTCCAGTACTTTAGAAAAATTTCACATAACATTTCATTGCATATAAGAAAATAACCATCACTGGAAGTTAATCAATCAAATTTTCCCCCCTTTTTAACCTGTGTACAAGCTTTAGTAACCATGTAACCTCAAGTTTCCAAAATATTCTATAGAAACCCCAAATAAAAAAATAATGGTGATTTGAAATACCCAAGATATATGTTTATGACCCAGAAATGTTTTACTGCAATGAAATGTAGGATCAATTACCTACAACTGTCAAATTCAAGGGAATATTTTTTTTCGACCTATTTTCGTATGCAACCGGATGATGCAACCGGATGTGACGTACTATGATTTAGTGGTATTACACCTAAATAGAAGCATATATATATAACTCGTTCCACCATAACTGTAAATGAAAAACTGCAAAAAAATGAATTCGAACTTATTTTATAGTCAATTGATACAGTACTTACAATATCAATTGGGACCTTAAACAGATTGAAACTCACCGAAGCAATTGCAACCAAACTTGGCCACAATCATCATTTCGGTATCTAGTTTTAAAATCGTGTTAAATGAACACGCCGGCCAATCATTGGTAAAATATAACATAGAGGGGAAGTGCAGCTATTATATAATATCTTAAAAACCGTTATAGACAGAAAAAAAATATCATGCGGCAAAAAATATTTCGAATTTCAAGATTTACCAATTTTAGTGTTTTCCCCAATATCTTTAAAGCTTGAATAGATAAGACTGAAACAATGAACAACAGACATGATTAGCAACGCAAGATCTACACATGAGTCGAATGATTGAAATCGTCAGTGGTTGTTGCCTTCAAATCACTATTTTAACCATGTTTGAAATGAATAAAGTCGAAATTTGTACAGTGGTACGTTGTCAACGTGTGGGAACCAAAAGAAGGACTTGAACAAATTCATTAAAGCATATAAATAAGACCAAGACCATGCTTCCTTTGATCAATTATTGCGATATAAAAAGAGGTTTGAGATCTAACAATATTAGTCTAACCAGCCACATTATCGTGTGCGCATTTTCAAAGACAGGAAATTTGTCAGTGATTGTCATTTGAAATATCTTAATGTTCCTTTTTATTTGGAGAATGTTGTATTGATGTGACTTTGATTGTTTCTGTTTTATCTATTCACAATTTGTATAGACTCGTGTTAGATTTTGTCTATTGTTGAAGACTGTATGTTACCCTTTAGTTGTCTGATGATGGTTTTTATCGTTGGGTTGCGGTCACGTTGCCTTTTACTCCGAGTCTCCTTTGATCAATACTCATAATAACTTGATTCTACACGAGAAGCTGCTTTATGAAAGCTGCTTTATGAAAGTTTTAAAGTGATTAAGATATAAACGCACTTGCAAGTTGAAAATACTATCTATGTTTCCCCGTCCCACTTTTCACAGACATAGTTCTTCAGTAAAACAGTTTATCATATTTAGTTCAGGTGCTGTAGATGTTACATTTTTAACATTTTTTTTTTTTTTTTTTTTTTTATTACATTTTGAACTTAATATTGTTACCTGTACTAAGTATTCTCAGTGAATAAATTCCACATCATAATTTATTACATGTATGGTTTTGCATATATAATACTCACATTTAAACAAGCGAGGTTTTTTTTATCCAAAAAGAAATAATTCAATATTATTTTGTCTGTTGCCACTTTAAATGCGTGAATTGTTTCGTAATTATCTTAAATGCAAAACTTTTAATATGACATATCTTTAAATACTCTTTTGCACACCGACCATGTCTATAAGTACTCATGTACTAACGAATTTAATAATGATCATGTACTCGCGATCAAACAATATATCTTAAAATTTTGTATAATAAAATGTACCTTACCGCCTACATGTATTCCATACAGTATAAGTCACTGTTATCGGTATCGAAGTAATAGTATACATGTTTTTACTTTACATGACATTCAAAATCACCCAAAGTCAGATGTGCTTAAATTGTTGTATACAAAGACAATTAATAGATACATTTGAAGTTAAAATTCAAGTTTATAGCTTTCTAAATAGTAAACTCATCTTTGCTTAAAATCTTTTCATTGTTATACGAATAAAAAAAAAGATTTAGTGTGTCATGCAAGACAATCACTATCAGACATTTATGTAATAAAAGAAAAAGAAATCAAAACGTGAAAGATTCCCCTACAAGTTGTCTGATGTAATCTACACGCGGAGCAGAAAATATTGATCCCTGAATACTGTGAAACTGTGTTCACTTCCGACTTGTCGGAGAGCTGAGGTTATATATCGATTACTGTTTGTCCTATTTCCCTGCCATGTTGATTTACCTCCTTTTAATGTTGTTTCTGGTGTCGCGGTCAACAACCAAAAAAAATGTCAATACATTTATATTACATAATTACTGGTACATTTATAAAAACCGATGATAAACAGTTACATTATTCCGAATCATAAATCATGAATAGCAGAATCTTATAAATTTTTCAGATATTAAACACATTGAACTGACATCAAAAATGTAAATTTCAGTTAATTGTTGTGTTTTACTAGTAATTGCCTGTGTTACAAATGTGTCAAAATTGTTGTGTTCTAAAAACAAAACGATTTGTTTTAGCCATTTTAATTGCGTCAATTCCCTAATTTTATTTTATGTTGTTTTTATTCTTTTCTTATTTTAATTTGTTCTTATTCTATTCTTATTCTTTATCTATTCTTATGTATTTATTCGTATTCTAATTTTCATTATAAATGTTATTATTACGTTTGCCTTTTTGTCTTTAAATTTTTTATAATTACATTCAACGTTATATAAAATACAAATTTTTCTGTATGTTGAACATGAATATGACTATAAATTAGATTTACTCTGGTAGTGCCTTTGTCCTTGGTATGATTAACGAGACGTATAATTATATATATATATAATATTATATAACTCTGGTATTAATTTGTCACATTTAGTAAATATATATCGCTTACTTAGTAATTATTGTAAGAAAGTTCATCTTGCATTAAATCGTCCGTACATAATATTGATTTTTCAAATAATAAAACACATGTCTATGTACCCTCAATTACATGTATTCGTAATATAATATTGATTCTATCTGATAATAAATGCACCTTAAAATTTTATAATCCAAAATTTCTTTCAGAAAAAATCCGATTCTGTCTTTAATCAAATCAAATTGTAGGTGTTCTTCACATTGTCAAAATTGTGTCCCGCTTTAATTTAAAGAATAAAAAAGATACTTTTTGCTACCATAACTGGTCTGCTACTACACCTTCATTATCATTATCCTTCACATCAATTAAAGAACGACATGCATTATATTTCACTGTGTCTCGAGTATGTAAAATGTTAAGTAGTTTACCAATACTGAAGAAACGTTCTGTAATTATCCGCTTTGAGATATTGTCTTATTACGTCGATTTTCGTTATTCTGTCAACAAGTTTCTAGTTTAAGACAACAGGAACTAATGAATACATTTATGTCTTAGACATTACAGACGAATTTTACAATAACCTAAGGTTATTGTGCAAAAATTCTGCCATTTACCGGAATAAAAATGATCTTTAACAGCAAAACGAAACAGGAAACAAATAAGAGTAGACACGTTCATCCAAGCGCCATGAATAAGAATTAATAACAATTATTTAAGCACCACGAATGAAAATTACACGCGGTTATTTAATCGCAACGAATGAAAGTAGACACGGTCATCCAAACGCCACGAATAAAATATAAGAACTATTATTTAAACGCCACGAATAAAAAAAAGTATTGTTATCTAAGCGCCGCGAATAAAAAGTCGACACGGTTATTTAAGCGCCACGATTAAAAAAACACGGTTATCTAATCGCCTCGAAAAAAAGTAGACACGGTTATCTAAGCGCCATTTCAATTGTCTGATGGAACTAAAATATTTAACAATTTAACAACAATTACAATAAAACATTTAATTCTAATAACATAATGTCGATAACAAACGCGCAGGGTTCTTGTCAGAATATTTTCACTGGGACTAACTACG